TACTGCGTCGTCGTACGCGAGCGAAAATGTACAGCGAGAGAAAAGAAAACATGAAATAGAGTCGAATAGGAAACATTTAGCCAGTCACCCGTACATATATGGTCATGCTTGGAATTGTAAGCTCTTGGGATCTAGAGAGGAAGTGCATTGACTTAACCATGATGTCGGTAGTCTATTAACTACACATAACTCCACAGGATTAAACGCCAACAGCGTAGGTTTGTTCGTTTGCGAATAGTCCTGCTTGGATTGTCAAATAAAGTCTGTCTGCTGCCATATTCTATGGACTGTCATCTAATCCCTATTAGAACAGGCGAGTTTCAAATTTGCTCAAGTATCTAGAAATCTTACAACGCTTTTAGTCATGCTATTAATTACTGAATGCCGATCGTGAGCTGATTACGTGCATATCGGTACTTGCTAATTACTGAGTCAGATCGAGAAGTGTGTTGTAATTAATGTTGTAAAGGTAAGTGATAGAGGTTTGGTATCGTGTAAATGATGGATGTATTGGTAATAATATTGTTAGATGTGTAATACACGTCTTGTTTTTCAATTGTCAGTGTGTGAGGAACGTGTTGCATAACCCTGCTGTTGTTAAACCCACGAAAGCATATCATAGCGTGACTATACACCCACTCGATGGGGTAGAATATCACAGAAGACGCTCCTTGATTTCTTGTTCCTTTCCTAGACTCGCCTTTCCCCCTTACTCCCAGCCCCGTGCTCGGTCCCTCCCCCCGTGACCATCCTCTTCTGTTTATTCCTTCCTCCCTCTCTCTGTTTCTCTCACCCCCGCTCTCGATCCCTTCCACCTCCCCTTTATCGCTACCCTCTCTTCCCTCTCTCATCATTTTTCTTCGACACACATATATATCACGACATGTTTCGTCCGTAGCTTTGCTGGTGCGTCTGATAATGACAGTCAGGTCGCTGACAGTTATGCAGTGACGTCGTGGTGACATGTCGTAAATTAGATGGTCTAGAACGTGCTGCTGCCTGGTGGTTATTTTTGATAGCCATCCATGATAACAAGAGCGTATTAAGAAGGCCTTCTTAATACGCTCTTGATGATACTCTCATGTTATTTCATTTACACACACCCGTGTGTGCGTGCGTGCGTGCATGCGTGCGTGCGTGCGTGCGTGTGTGTAACGCTGTAAACTAAATCGCTGTACATGTGGCGAGAGTGTGGATGCGTACGCGTGTGAGCGTGCGCGCGCGAGTGTACGTGTGCGTGATTGAATGGTAAAAACCCGCAGTTTAATTCCGTGTTGTAAATATAGTTTATCCGTTAGTTGATTTTTATATTTAAACTCGGCCGTGCCCGTTTGAAATCTGGCCTCAAAAAAAAAGTTATGAAATTGCGAGAGCGGTTTGATCTACGATGTTTTCATTGCGGACTAGATCCTTTCATATTTCTTGGTCAGATTCCGTAATTCACGTGCTGTTTCCGTTTGTATTGGTTTGTATAATTTATGTATTATTATTATTATTATAATTGATCAGAAAATCTTGTAAATACTAGGTGTCGCTGATGAATTATATATGTTACTTTATCGTTTTATTCGCTGCAATTAATTTGACTTTGATATTTGATTGAATTGTGGGCCGGAGCTCGAATCTTACACGAACGCTGATATATTCTCGATGTCTGGCAATTTCGATAACTATGCATAATAATTCTTGCTTGAGTAACTGTACAGTGGTACGTGAGTGGGGTCAGGATAGGTTAGTTGTTACTATGGGGTAATTATGATAATGCTAATAATAGCTAACTTTGTGGCGCACGCTGTTGTTACTGCCACACTGAATGACAACAACCATGTTCAGGTCATGTTCATGTTCATGTTTAGGTTAGGTTATGTTCATGTTCCTAAATTAAATTGTTCAGAGTTCAAACACATCGGAGCAACCGTGTGAGTAAAAGTTGCTTTATGTAAAATAAATCGATTTTGTAAGAATTCCGTCTTCCTTAGCTTTACTGTGTAGAATTTCTTACATCAATATTCTATGTCTGCCAGACACACAAAATACTATAAGAAACCACTATTGCAAAACCGGCAATTAACGAACAGCCTGAGGTCAATCATGGTCCCCGCAGCCCTTTAGGCCATGGGCAAGAGTAATTATTGTTCACTTTCGTTTGACACCTCATGAATGATGGAACCAAGTTTAAATCTGGTTGTAAGTTAAATAGATTATCCTGATAATCACAAATGTTCCTATAATTTACCCTGAGAACAATATATACAGTTGTATATATACATATTTATATTTATATACATCGTATACATTGTTTACATTATGTTACATTTGTATATATATACAGTTGTTTAATATGTTCTCTATGCACTAGTATATTATTTCTATGCAAATTCCGAATCAATGGAAATACGAACCCACGCAAACGTTTATATTTCACACAACCCTAACCCTAACCCTAACCCTAACCCTAACCCTACCCCTAACCCTAACCCAAACCCTATTTTTAAAAAATATATAAAAAATTTAATTTGTAATTTTGTAAAAATTAATTGTTGTTATTAAAATGTTGTAAATAAATCATGTAAATATTTGCGTTAATAAATGGATTGGAAAAAATAAATTGTGCGTTAATAAATAAAAAGTGAAATGTGCGTTAATAAATAATTAGAAAAAAATGTTAAACGGATAAAGATAGAAAAATACAGAAAATAGGAAAATAATTGGAAAACGGGTGGAATTCGATCCACCGACCTTCCATACTTGACTCTCGCGCTGTACTCGCGATAGGCTATTGAATCCTATTGGAAGTAAGAATTTTGGATGTGCTAGGTATATTATGACACTGTGACGTCATTGAGCGACGAAACAAGCTTAACCAATAGCAGCATGCACTCACTACAGCCCTATGTTCTTGATTGACTTAGGAGAAAAAATCACGCGTCCAGGACAGTGATATAGCTAAGATAGGATTAGCTCTAGTACTATAGCCCGCGTACAGTTGCCGCTGGGGTAGCTCTAGTACTATAGCCTGCGGATCGCTGCCGATCCGCTGAAGCGATCCGCGGGCTATAGTACTAGAGCTACCGCTGGGGCAGTTAATGTAAGCGGGCTATAGTACTAGAGCTAGGATAGGATTAGCCACAAGTTCCCTTCTCGCTTAACACTACGTTGGTCCTACGTCGTGTAACAGTCGCGGAGAGCCTGGTCGGTTTAGGATAGGATGATGTTTATTACTGGACAGGCACCTTTAGTGATGCACAGATTTACGTGTATCAGGTAGTGATGCACAGATTTACATGGCATTGGCATTGCCATTACTGGCATTAGTACTAGTACTAGTAGCCTAGTATTACTATTAGTATTACATTAGATGATCAACAAATGTTCTTTGTTCCAATCCCCAAAATGATAATGATAACCAGTTTCTTACCTTCTACACAGTCAAAAACATCTTCCCTCGACTCTTCCCTGTAGCTATAGCCTCGATCATCTCCTAAAAACTCTGGCTGGCCAAGAACTCGAATTACTCGGAGTACGTAGAATCCATTAGGTCTGACTTTCAAACAGCGATGGCGCGAGTCAGGCCGCGGTTTGTTGAGACGCTGCAGACGCAGCAACCGTTCACCGTTGCTATGCGCGTGACAAGCGTGACCGCGGGGTGGGTGGGAAATCAGCCAATGAGCGGTGGGACAGGGGGCATATTTAAGTGTATGCTTGCGCTTGAATTTTGTATTTGACACGTGACCACAATTAAATCACTACCGGTTCACATTACCGTGGTGTTAGGTTAGAGGATGTGACGTGTCATCCTCGGCCGAATGACGATGGGAAATGCGCGAATCGGCGCTGGGATAGGTTAGAGAATGAGTTCCTTTTTGAGTGTCTACATGCGCTAGAATTTGTATTTCTTCTTAGCAAAGATTATAACTGTTTGCAATTGTTAATTTCAGAAACTAGAATCTATTCTGAATCCGACAATGTAAACGCGGCTCGTCCGAGGTGCGTTGCTGGGACAGCCCATGAATTTTCCAAGGAAGCCTACTTTTTCGCGCCAAATCACAATTTTTGTACTTTTGCTTATTTGCCCCCCAAGTAGGGGGTGTTTATATTGAAGCCGGTACGGGAGATTACGGTACGCATATATTTGTTAATATATTGACTAATCGTGAGTCAATAAACTCAATATTCATGTGCGTGCGTGCGTGGGGGTGATCATTGTTAGATGCTAATTGAAATTGCGTGAAGATTTTTCCTTTTCCGCGTCGGCGCGTTTCATTAGCGTGTCAAAACGCGGATCAGTCCCGTCGCTCAGTTGATTATTCGCGCTTTCTCGCGCTCGAAAACAAACACGGATTTTGCGCTGAGCGGCGTTTTATTATTTTCCTTTTGAGTGGTTGACGTGAATTGTTTCATTAAAAGCAGATTAACGCTCGGGGCGGCTGAGTTTGAACACTGTGTCGACACGTGATTACGTCATTGTTTTCGCGCCGACAGAATTTTGTAATGCAGACGATATTATCCGTTGTCTAATCCCTTCCGTAAAATCGGTTGTTCGTCGTCGAAGTCACAACGACGACGGCAGCGGTCGTTTGACTTCGTTGAGACATCGCGGCGCCATCTAGCGGTAGAAAACGAAACGAACGACCGGCGTTCGCGAGTATTGTATTTTTCGAAGTTGAGATTGTCGCGAACGTTAAGTATGCTATTAAACAGTCAAACCTGCGTAGCTGAAGGAATACCCCTCCCCCAAAAAAAGAGGATCCTTTATATGCAGCTGCTCTCTCTATAGAGGAGATTTCACTGTATGCGAAATGTCAAAAAATTGCTTTCATAAACAGATGTCTTTTCTACTGGAATATTTGCTGGTATTTGATGGTTTTTTTGCAGGGTAATGTAATTACTTGATGTACTGTTTTACTGCATATTGATGTATTTCGGAACCGTTTTTCGGTGAAGATTGAAGATTCCAGGGTTCTAGTTTCTGACGTGTTGTCTTGTCTTTCTTGCAGCCTGCCCCAAGGGAAGGTACAAATCTCACATGGGCAACGGCCACTGTGACTTCTGCCCCGCGCACAGCTCCTCGAACACGATCGGCTCACAGGAGTGTGAGTGTGAGACGGGATTCTACAGAGCTGCCATCGACGCCCGATCCAGCCCCTGCACACGTAAGTCACCGGCGACATCTGGTGGTCCGCGCTCGCGGGAGTGCCGCGCGTCGCGTTGGTGAAGTTTGGGGTCCTGTTATAAATAGTATTTTATTTATTTTAGCAATAATATATTAGAAATCATACGAAATTAAATGCAAACAACCGAAGAAATTTCACGAGGTCAGCATGTATTATGGAATACAAATACGTGTAAACTATGCCGTTTCTTACTTTACGATACATCGATCGTTGCATTGTGGGATAGTACTGCTCACTGTGAACCAAAGATCTTATGATTTTTTTTTATACTCATTTATTTATTTATTGCTTTAAATTAATTGAGATTTAATAATAATTTGAATGACTTTATATAATATGCACGGTAAACCATGCAATATATATGCTTGATATATACATATATATACATTGCTTGAACGTCTTCTGGCATATAGGTGCGAAAATAGGATTATTATTCTTGAAACTAGAAACAAACCCTAGATATATAATCTTAAAATCTTGTCGAGATTTTTGAAAATTTTTCGAAAAGTTGGAATCTTAAAACTAGATAAATTTTCCAAAAACAAGATGATTTTCTTGATTTCAGATCTATTTTCTAAGTAAGAAAAAGCGTTTTAGCTGTGGCATGTGCTAATTAATGCTAATAATACGAATGGAATACCAATGAGGCATGTATGAGAGTGACAATTAAGACAACCGGAAATATTAAAAGTGAAGGATACACGTTTTATTTAGTTACAGGTTTTTTTGCATACATCTTTGCATTTATTTTATACAGAAAATTTCGCGAGGCTTACAAAAGCTCATTGTACAATGAAAATTGCATGATAATGTATGGGGAGTACGCAGCGTTGTGCAGAGAGTCAGCATTCGCGCCGACGTTAGGCTTTTCTTTTGCCGTGAGGAGTTGTTTACCGCAGATAGGTGAGTTATTAGTGGTGCAATAAGATTTATTACTGACCGCGTACATGTGTGTTCCTCCCCTCCGTAGTTCTTCCGCAACCTCAGCATGGTGTTCCACTACTGACCGCGTACATGCGTGTTCCTCCCCTCTGTAGGTCCTCCATCGCCGCCGCGCAACCTGAGCATGGTGTTCAGCGACCAGGCGACAGTGATGCTGTCATGGCTGCCCCCGGCGGACACGGGCGCTCGCGACGACGTGCGCTACCGCGTCGCCTGCGACATCTGCGGCGGCGCGATCCACTACGTCCCGTCCGGCCCACCAGAGGGCAACATCAGCAACACGAGCGTTCAGCTGTCCGGACTGGAGCAGACGGCGACGTATAAGATATTCGTGTACGCGGAGAACGGCGTGTCACCGCAGAGCGGCGTGTCACCGTTCACGTCGATCACCGTCAACACGGCACCGTTCAGTGAGTGACAGATGACGCGATGCTAGGGGTCAGGGTCAGGTTGGGGTTAGGGTTAGGTTGGGGATAGGGTTAGGGTTAGGGTTAGGGTTAGGGTTAGATTTAGGTTGGGGATAGGGTCACGGTTAGGTTAAGCGTATATTTAGGATTGAGGTTAGGGTTATATTAGGGTTGGGTATAGGGATAGATTTATGGTTAGGTTAGGGGTTAAGGCAGGGTTATATTTAGGATTAGGTTTGGGTTAGAGTTAGGGTTAGGTTAGGGTTAGGTTGGGTTATGATTTAGGATTAGGTTTGGGTTAGAGTTAGGGTTAGGTTAGGGTTATGAATTAGGATTAAGGTTAGGCTACAGTTAGGGTTATATTAGGGTTGAGGCTAGGGATAGATTTAGGGTTAGGTTGGGGTTAGTGTTAGGATTAAGGTTAGGTTATAGAGTTAGGGTTGGGTATAGGGATAAATTTAGGGTTAGGTTGGGGTTATATTCAAGATTAGGGTTGGGTTAGGTTAGAATTCGGTCAAAGCTCAGACCAGGGTGAAGATATAAGTTAGGATTCCAGTTATACATTAGGTTAGAGTTGGAGTTAGCTTTATAACTGCTACACCACACTAACAATATCTTCTAGATGAGCACGATGCGTGTTCATGATGTGTATTGGAAATACATCAAATCTGCTACATAAAAAAATATCCACGTAAATCTAAAACAAATGTAATCAAATATATATCCATTTTACTACTACACCGCACTAACCCTCTCTTCTAGATGAGCAAGGGTGTTCAAATCTGCTACATACATAAAAAAATATCTCCACGTAAATCTTAAACAAATATAATCAAATATATATCCATGTTACTGCTACAGATGGGGTCGTTGTCATATCAGGTACTACAGATATGTACCCGAGGTAGTTTTAGGTTGTTTAGTATTATGTTTATATTTTTATGTGAGGTATGTTTAGTGTTAGGGTTAGGGTTAGGGTACACTTCTGTAGTACAAGTCTGGTTCACTTTGTGTATACATATATATGTACCTCGGGTACATATCTGTAGTACCTGATACGACAACGACCCCTTCAGCGTTACTACTACACCACACTAACCGTCACTTCTCCGTGTTTCAGTTCACTCGCGCGTCAGTGGCGTGACGTCGCGTAACCTAGGCGACGACACGTTGCTCGTGTCGTGGAAGAAGCCGCTGCTAGAGGAGATAGATCTGTACGAGGTGAAGCAGTATCTACGCTACAGCGTTCTCAATGTCACGATGAGGCAGACTCTGTCGACCAACTTCACGTTCCGCAGCCTCCCGCGCAGCACCGAGTATGGCTTCCAGGTATGTATAAGTGCACGCACGTACGCAGGCACACGCACGCATGCACGCACGCACACACGAACGCACACACACGCGCACGCACGCATGCACACGCACGCACACACAGACGCGCACGCACGCGCACGCACGTACGCAGGCACACGCATGCATGCAAGCGCACACACGCATGCACACACGCACGCACACACAGACACGAACTTCACGCACGCACGCACGCACACGCACGCACGCACAGCACTGCATAAGCACAGCTTCCAGGTAGATGAAACGCACACACACGTGCATTTTGCTTTCAAAATTGATTTTATTAACATTTAAATATTAATTTGAAAGTCGTCAAAGGAGAAATCCTGCTAGTTTACTTTGCCGCGAGGAAAGTCAACTTTTTTTAGTCGCTGTAATCAAATGGGAAAAAAGTGCAGCAAAGCATCCGACGAGCACACTATTAATAACCTTTAATTACGTAGTGTTAGTACAGATATTAGATACTCAACAGTCACCTACCGTCTGGCTACCTCATAGCTCACCCAATTGTCGAACACACCTCCCGCATCCTTACCAATTCACCGCTGCATCAGCCGCACTAGTTTCCGCGGTTACCGTGACGACCACGTCACTCAAGATGGCGACTTTGTTTCCGCGGTTACCGCGACGACCACGTCACTCAAGATGGCGCCTTTGTTGCCGCGGTTACCGCGACGACCACGTCACTCAAGATGGCGCCTTTGTTGCCGCGGTTACCGCGACGACCACGTCACTCAAGATGGCGCCTTTGTTTCCGCGGTTACCGTGACGACTACGTCACTCAAG